TGCAACAATTATGTAAGTCTTGAATATTTTATTGAAAAGATTTCACAAAACCTTGTGAATGAATCACTAGCCAGGATGCAAAATTGATTTTTTATTTTTATCAAAGATAACAAAAGAATATGATACCAGAAAAAAAAAACATTTTAGCAAAATTCATGAGAGTCAGAAAACGCTATCTCGTTGAAGTACGCTTTCGAAATAAACCTTGTTTCAATTAGGACTTTTGAGGGTTATAATGTGGCATGGTTCACGGTTTTAGAAAAAAAGGATTTTAAGGCTCAAAGTTATTTGGTGCCCACCCCCTTCATGATGTTCTTCAGTCCTAAGTTCAGTTAACTCGACCTGAACATTCGTCTCTCAAAAGAAATTTCGAGACAGTTAAGGAATCGATCGAGGTTTTCTTTGGATACGACAATCACTTATTTTTATTTTTAATGTCTGATCACTGAATATATTTCTTTGCTAAGGATATCCATTGTGTAATCCTTTTTTATCCTTTCAGGCTTTCCATCATTTTCCCTAAATTTGGCCTGGACAAATTCTTTTTGAATTTGACTATGAAGCCCAGCGGGATGCCCTGACTTTTGCTTAAGCGACTTATTTTTTCAATTTTCGACTTAGTAGGGCTTTTTGTCTCTTTCTTTAATCACTTCTTATTTTTTTTTCATTATTTCATTTCTTTATATTACATTTTCTTTCCTTTTGAACATGTCGTGTGACGTTGAGTCATTTTTGACTTGTCGGAAGAATTGTGATTGCCTTATTTCTTGGAATATGAGGGACAACCATTGTTGTATCATTGTCTACTGACTTCTTGACATGCGAGAGATACTCATTGGGATATCATCAATTGACACACTCTCTTGATATGTGAAGGTTAGACATTACAATTTTGAGTTACATCAACCTTTTGAAGGATAACCATTGTTGTATCCTTAGATGCGCGTTTCTGATGAGTTCCGAACGCTCAATCAAATTAACTGAACACTACCCTGCCCCAGGTTTAAAATGAAGGTTTTTTTCTGAATAGAAAAGAAACTCCTGCTTCAAGGCTCAAAGGGGTTAACGAGGGTTTCACTCCCTTATATCTCCGGTGTTTAGGGATTTGAAACAATGCATGTATATCTTCAAAGGAGTTTTATTCAAAAGCATATAACCAGAAATTTTTTATTTTAAATTCATCACCCCTTCCAATCTATGCTTAGGCAAGAGAATGGATAACAAGTTGGTATCATAATGAAAAAAGTAATTTAAAATTAAAAATAAATACGAGTGAAACGAATGGATTTCTTCAAGACAAACATATTCATTGTATTAAGATAATCATTCAAATGTAAAAAAGTTCTTACATGCAAACCGTACAATGGTTAACAAGAAAAATTACAAATGAGAAATCATTGAAATTGCTAGTAAACATAAGACTAATCATCCTTAAAATCCAGAGCATTCTTCAATCACGTTTATTCTTCGGCAAAGACTTGTCTTGAACCTCAAGACAAGTATCCTTAAGTGATAAGATACCACTTCAAACCAATTTCTGGACTTCAGCTTTCAACAGATAACATTGTTCAATACTATGCCCAGGGGCTCCCTGATGAAAAGCACAAGTCAAATCAGCTTTGTAGTACCAAGCTATCTCCTCAAGAATCTTTGATGGAGGCCGGGTCTGAACCAAATTCCTCTGCATTAGGATAGGAAACAAATCTATATAGGTCATTGGAATTGGATCAAACTGAGCTTTCTTATGACCAGAAACTTGTTGATTTTGTTGACAAACTAGAGCAAAAAGAGGTAAATTAAACACAAGGATGACAGAAGAAACATGCTGATTCTGACGCTGATTGTTTCTTCTTCTGGTTCTCTTATTTTAAAAATTATTATCAAACTTTTTCACACCACTAGTTGTGCCACTGTCTTCAGATAAACATTCCTTTCGGACATCCTCTTCTCGAAGCACTCCCACATTCACTTCTTCTGGGAAATCATTGGGTGTATTGACTATCACCTTCTCATAAAAGAATGATTTCAGAGTTTATGTGAAGACTTTTGCCATCTCTTCTTCCTTCCTAGAAGGATTTACTTGGACGACAATCAAAGTTTTAACCAAAGCAGTTAGATATTCCATATCATCCTTTAAAGTAGTTACCTCTTTGCGGTGTTCAAAAATCTCTTGCTTAAAGTTTTCCATCTTCCCTTAGCACGGATGTTGTACTGATGAGACAACTTGTTTCAGAAGACCAAAGGACCTTGAGTAAGGCTTCTGGGAAACTCATGAAATGCATAATTAAATGTAACATGGTGCATGACATGCAATACAACTGCCTTCTCCTTATTTCCAAAAGTCTATACGCTTTGATTCCAGTTATTAAGCCACAATATTATTATATATTTTTTCATGTATTTATTATATATAATTTTTTTAATGTTTATTCTTTTGTCTTAACAATTGGAATCAAGGAAGTAATATTTGGAAACAGAAAAACATGTATGCTGATAATTATATTAACATGCTATGTATGCAAACATATAGGATCAAAGATTCCGCGGTACTAAATAGCTTGCTGAATTGACAATAGAACCATTGTCATGTGTAATAAGATCAAAAGTGTGGATCAATTCAGAACACCAAGAACCAAAGTCACCAGCAGAACATATATATAGTCACCATTTGTACCTGTAAATATTATTCCCTCCCCACTCACGGGTAAAGACTAGGTCAGGGTAAGTCAAAGGTAACTCCAAACCGCGGGTCCGCCTGAAAGTACTATCGCTTTACCCATAGACGTAGGTGTCGATAGTAATCCATTTGAACCTCATCCGAGCGTGGTATATGACAAGACTGCACTAATCGGACCATGTCCTATAACCATCATGCCCCCACTCTATTCCTAGTGTCCTAGTGCACTCTGGCCTGGGTACTGGGCCTTTTACCTCAGTAGTAACACCCACCCAATTGGGGAAACAGAGAAGCCAACACAACAACAATATAATAAATAACAACAAAGATGCAATGTAAACATATGCTAAATCATATACAAATGAATAAACTATAAAAGAAAAATGAAAAACACCCTAAGAAAGAAAAATGAGAGCTAAGATTGACTCACGGGATAGACTAGCAATTGCAATCTCATTAATTCCCTAGTGAAGTCGCCATTTTTCTGTAGCGGTAAAATCAATGAAGTCGCCACCGAGTAATTATTCATCTCATAAAAGGGAAAGGGAAAATCATCAAAGAAAAACCTAAAGGGGGAAATCAAGGTCTTGCAACCGAGAGATTGGGTAAGGGAGTCGATTACGCGAGTGGAAGGTATTAGCACCCCACACGTTCATAGTACTCTACGGGATCCACTCTCGTTATTCTAATCAAAGGGTGTGTTCTATCTAATGCTTAAAATTTATAAACTAAGAGGGAATGCATGCAAAGAAAACACGGGGAAAAGAAGGAAGTATTTACAAATTTTTGCTCGGCTGAGCCCCGTGACCAGATGCCTACATATCCTTTTTAAGGAATCAGAGCGTCGTAGTTCGGCTCACATATTTTGTTTGTTTGTATTTTTTAAATAAACAATGTTGAATTCGATCATTCCACCGCTGCTCGACCTTTGGAGACTTACGACCTGTAGTGGAAAGGAACTAACAATGCTCTTAGAAGAGAAAAGCTGAATGGAGAAAATAAGCGGATTGGTTGGTATTCTTCACTACAGATAATGGCTAGCTAATCTCAAGAGAGAGATATTAGCCATTTCTCTACTTATTCATAAAGTAAGTCTTTGAGACTTGAACCACACCAAGGCTTAGAATGGAGGAACAATAAGATCGAGAAGAAACTCGCTTATCATTTCCCATACTCGACAAAGGTATGACTCTTATTAGTTATCTTTAAGTGTTTTGAAGTTTGCAAGGAAAAGACGTTTTTTGTTTTAATGCAAATGAAAAAGGGGAAAGAAAAAGTCTAAAGGGAGACTAACCTGAATCTAACCTAATGTTATCATACAAAGAGTGGTCCTATTTAGTTTAGCATGCCAAAGAAAGTCTAACAAACTATCCTATAGGGAACATACAATGAGAGCGAAGTCGTGATCTCAATTTCTAAATTGAGTGACTCATCGATCCATAAGAAATAAAGGAAAGCGATAAAATCCTATAAGGAGCATGCACTGAGAGCGACGTCGTGATCTCAATTTCTAAATTTGGTGACTCATTGATCAACCAGAAAGGAAGCAAACACAAGCACAACACATATAATAAATGAAGTGCGGAATGCCTGCTACAGGTCTTTAAACAACGACTTCGAGCACACACTCTTTATTTCCTACTTCTCATGATATCTAGAAAGCGATAAATGTGGAAATATAACTTGGAAGCCGTATAATATCAAACGAACAATGATGTCCATAAAAAGCGCAACCAAAGAAAAGAAACCCAGAATACTTCGTGCGAGCTGTCATCAACAAACAAACAGTCAGAGATCGAATATTCATAATAGATGTCAAAGCTTCATCCATGTGAAAATAAATCACAATCGGAATCCAAAACACATCCGCATATCAAATAATGAACCTGCATAAGACTCAGTTCAACATGCAAAGATGAATAACAAGTCTCAAATAATCGAAAAATTAAGAATTAATTTCCTAAGAATCAAATGAGAAATCTACCAAATTGTATTGATTTTTTGTAGTTTATTACCCTAAAAACAAAAGGCAATCTTAAAATCTATAATTTTTTTATTGTTTTTATCAAATTTATTTTATTACTATTTTTTTTATAGAAAATTAAACTAAAAAAACAAAAGCTAACTAAAGAAATTAGAAAGAGTCAGGGGTGTGAAGCAGGAACAGGGTATACGCAAATGGCATAAGGCCCAAACATGTTGAGTCCAGAAGAGTTTCTTGTAACACAAACTTTCAGGACAAAAAAAAGAATTTGTGGGCTCGTGCATTGGCCCGGTCCACTAACCACATCAATAATCCAGCAACAAATGGCCCTTGTTAGGGTTAAGAGAAGTGGTTGTTGGACTTCGTGAGATCAGACTCCTTCTTCAGCCAAACACACATCAGCGACTCTTCTTCTTTCTCGATCTCATCCGCAGCAAATGATGCCAACTCTACATTCTCTTGTTTTGATTTCCACTCAAACTCCATGTACGCATCACCCCGTCTCAACTCCGATCCATTTTGACGCATAACACCGCGGTGAAATTGTCACCTTTATGTTCGTTTCTCAACCGTCTTGATTCAGTTTCATCCATGCTTCGCATATATGTTTCTTTCACACGACAACTTGCATCTCAAACTTTAACAAAAAAAATACGAAAATTATAGAAGTATCGAAGAACACTTACCTACCGGAGAAATTCTAGTGTCTCTTTGGCAGCGTCGGGATCAAACGGGAAACTAGAAGATTCTTCAGGTAATCGTTCTTGTTCTCTTTCCCTTTTAGCTACAAATTCCTCTTCCACCGCTTCTTCATTTTCCACATTCTGAAACTTGTTGTTATGGTTGAATCAAAGATGCGTTGAAGACTTCTGTGACAGATTTGTTATTTGTTGTAGGGAAGTGGATAGAATATGAAGCTGATGATGATAGTTTTGTTGTTGAAGAAACGTTGTTGCCTTTACGTGATGAAGATAATCGAAAGTTGCATCGAATCTGATTGAATTTGAGAGACGATGATGATGAAACGTGAGGGAAGAATGTGCAAAAGAAGCCTTATTCAGAGATGAAGATGAAGCAAGAATTGCCGAGAATTCGATGAAGGTTCTTGAAGTTAAGAGAAGGGCGAATTAACAAAGAAGCTTGAAGGTTAATCCCCTTGAAGATTGAAGAATTTTCAGAAGAAAAACCGTTCTAGAGTGAGAAACGAAAAGGATCCTTGAAAGCTGAGTTTCCTAATTTTTTCCCCCTCCTCTATGAATGGATTCTTCTTCTTCTTAATTCTGTTAGAATTCTGTTGTACGGTTTTCTGAATCTGTGTGAGATTTTGTTAGGAATTTAGAAATTTTGTTAGAAAAACCATTAGGATCCTCCTAGTCAGTGAATTGGATTCTGTTAGAAGTAGATTAATCTGAGCTGGAAAAAAATTATTGGAAGATCGATAAAATTCTGTTTTTAAGTTGATTAGAATGTTGGGAAAGTTAGTTGAAGGAAAAATGGTCATGCCTTGTTAGTTTTATTTGTTAGTTAAGCTCAAATAAGGTAGTTAGTTAAGGTTTAGAAGTAACACTTGTTAGTTTTTTTATTACAGTCAGTCGGTTAGAAAACAATTAAGAGGATCGATTTGGATTGACAATTTATTTTTTGATTATGCAGGGTCCAATTTGGATTTTTTTAAATTATTTAATGCAGACTATTTAAAGAAGTGCAGGGCTGAAATGTTCAGTTTTGGTTTGGACAAATGATATGCATTGGATGAGCCGGGGATTCAGGTAAATCAGATTCTTTAACAGGATCCTGATTATTTAATTCAAGACCATCTTTAACAAGCCTGAAGCCAAATGTCAGTGGATCTGGTAGCAACACGTCCATAAATGATGTCTGTTAGAGCAGCCTGGATAGCGTCCTTGATATTTAACTCTCCAGAGTTATTGTGTCCTGCGTGCCAATTCTTGTTTTAGGATAGCCATATTTTATAGCATTCTGATCAGCTAAATGATTGTCCTTATTACTTTTCTCCAGTTTGATAGAGACATTGATTTCAAAGATAACATTGGTTGGGTTAGATAGCTCAAGTTCGAGAAAACGCAGTCCCTAGCTTCCTTCAGAAGGATCAATTTTCACCAATCTGTCTATTTTCGACTCCGAGTTTACTTGTTCTCCAGGAGAACTATTAGTATCTTTTGCTTTTGTGTATTGAAATGTTTTTTTTTTGTTATATGCAAATTTTATGGTGAACTGAACTGGTTTAGTGGATGTTCGGCTTGATTTTCCTAATTTTTACCATAAACCATGCAGGGCTGCCATGGAGAATTTGTTGAAGGAAGTGTGAAGAAGCTTAGGCATAATGCAAAGGCATAATGCAAGCAAGGTTGAAGTGAGAAAATAAAAGGAGGATGGAAGATTAAAACTAAGTTTTAGGAGAAGTTTTAATGAAATTTCCTTTGTAATTTTTGAAATGGCATATGATGTATGGTTTGGGAATGGTATTGTACATCTTCTTGGATATAAAGTCTTGGGTTGGTAATGAACTTAAAATTCCTTCTAATCATGTACTTATGTAAAAATTCATGTTGTAAATGGCCCTCCCTTTTGGAAACCTTGTGATATTTTGAAGTTTTAATGATGATAATCAAAATATTCTTCACTATTAGCAACTCGAAGGGATCATGTGAATCCGAATTGAATCATCCCATTTCAAAGTGTCTTCAGGTTGCATAGGCTTGATTATCTCAAACATCCATTCACATATAACTTGTGAGGTATGTCCACATGACTTGACATTCCACCAATATAAGCCCCCTTGAATGGAGAAATATCCATGAGCCTTGCTTTGAAACGAACGGATAATGATGGATTGGTATAGAATAGAATTTGAATCCATTTGAACTTCATGACATTTCTTGAGTGAATCTCTAAATCATCTCCAATGGGACCTTAATTCTGATCTCTAACCCATAATTTCATAACAAAGTACATCTTGATTTGATGGAACCATAAACCAATCCTTAGCAATTTAGGAAATGACACCACTAGAAAGGAGTTCTTGATGAAATCTTCTAAACTTCTTAACCATGTAACAAATAGCATCATGTGATCGGTGGATCTGGAACTGACTGTTTAACGCTGGTTCGCGAAATGTCGCGGAAGCAAGAGTCGCCACCGTCTTTTATTTTCTCCAAATGGAAAGGACAAAAGCACAGAAAAATTCCTTATAGAGATTGGTCTCGGTTCGGGAGGTAGGTTATAGAAAGGGAAGGTGTTAGCACCCTTTCTATCAATGGTTATCCATGGGCTCTTAGATACTTGCTCATTTGTGTTTTCAAAATTGTTTGTTTGCTTTTCAACTGTGGGTTTTAAAAAAGTTTCTTTGAAAACTCCAGTTCGACTCTTGTATCGGTCCTCAAGAGTGTTTGAAAAATTGCTTTCGAAAGCTTTTTGAAAAGGTGTCGTTGTGAAAAGTATTTTTTTTTTGTTTTGAAATTAGAGCAAGTATCTAGAGTCGTCTACCTACCCTAAGGAATTCGTCTGTGTAAATGTCCTTAAAGTAGTGCCATCCCACCATTGAGGGGTAGGTAGCACCACCGTTGGAGGTGTTCGGGTCAATTCGAGGTTCGGGACATGGTGATCACCAGAGCAATGGGAAGACACCTTAGAAGCTACCCTCATGCCAGGTTCCCGGATCATGAGGACTTACTAAGACATCCTCTACTCGACGATCACCTTTCGAGGCAAGGCAACAGTGAGGCGTACCCTAGGGGTGGTGTGTGATTCGTGTGTCAGATTCAAATATTTTATCTTGTCATGTTAAAGGTGATCTATGCGCTTGTTTTTATTTTTGTCCATTCATTCTTGCATGCATTTATTTAACAGTTAAAAATTGCGAGAAAGATAAAATTCTAAAGCTATTACAAAAGGCGCGGGTCCACATCGCCAAAATTTCCAGAACCCGATTTGACAGAAAAATAAAGAATTAAAGAACTAAAAGTGCGAGAAATTAAGTTTACACGGCTTTGGGAGAGGCACATAAATAATTAAAAGAAAAAGAAATAGATATGCGAATTGAAACTTTAAATTGAAACGAGGGCGTTGGACCCTTTTTAATGGAATTAAATTGAATTGTTAAATTAATTAAATTAAAGAAAAAGAAATTATTTTTGGTTTTTTTGTATTTATGAGAATTTAACGAGATTAATTGAAATTAAAATGCTAACCCTAATTCTAATGGTTTTTTTTAGTTTATTAAGAAAGTATTAAAATTAAACCTAAATTAACCTAATTATTTACATGCAATTTTAATTTATAAAAATAATAGGAAATATTTAATTATTATGAAAGAAAAGAAAAAGGATAAAAAATTATTACAAACCCTAGTTCTACCAATTTTAAATTAATTAAGAAAATATTAAGATTTACTCCTAAATTAAAACTAATTAATTAATAAAGGTTTTATTTACAAAAAATATAACATTAAATAAAAATATTAATTTTTGTCTTTTCTGATTTTTTTGTGTCTTTTTATATTTTTTATGAAAAATAATTAAATTTAAAAAAAGGAAATAATTGAATCAAAGAAAATATATAAAAAAAATAATATACAAGAGATGCAAACCTAGGGGGGTCTGTCCTCAATTGAGAGGTGAAGTCTTAGCATTTTAGGCCCATCAAGACCTTGGCCTGTTTGACTTTTGCGCTGGCATGTGAGATGGTTGACCAGTACCCATCATGATCCCTGGATCCTGGCCCTTGGATTGGTATGATTGAGTGCAGTGGGACGCGTGGACGGCTTGATAATGTGGATGCATGGTGCTCTTTAACGTTGAAACTACACACAAACATTAAGTGAAAAATAATATGAAAGGGGGGTGGGGACCTGGGACTCGAACCCAGGTCCTGTGGTTTACCAACGCTTATGCCTGCCAGTGGAGCTGCTTTACTTCTTTGTACCTTACGTAAATAATAAACAATATAAAATAAAACAAATGTTAGTGGAGATTTAGCGCGTAAAATTCAAATAGGCCAATCACTGATCGCCACAGGGTCGTCTTCTTCGTTGCTTTTGTTTTTTTTCTGAAACACAAAAGAATTAGCAACGGTTTTCGCACCGTTCCAAAATAGGCCATTTGAGAAAATAACGAATAGCTTGTGGTGGCTCATAAATTGATCGCGAGGGTGGATTTAGCATCGTCCAAGCATGCTTGTTTCAATGGTCCAGGTCTCGAGTGCCAATTTTTCCTTAAATGGAAAACCCCAATTCACAGCTTGGGAAACCCTAATATCCAACAATGGTGAAATCGCATAGAGTGCACAAAAACATAATTAAATTATATAGTTAGCATCAGAATCATATAATGAACACAAATCAAGCATCAAAAATTATGAAAAATGTATGAATCGAGATGCAAGAGTATCAAATATTTTCTGTACAGGGTGAGATCGTTCTCACGTTTCTGGGGGTGGAAGCTTATGGTTTTGATCCAAATTTCTTCCCTGAAGCCTCAGCAAGCCAATGGAATAAGTATCGTGGCTTG